AAAATAAAATTAAAAAATTTAAAAAAAAGAACCAAATAAATTTAGTTATAATCTATGTCACAACAAAAACACTGTTGACTGAAAAGGGAGAAAGAAATCACTAAAGGCATTAGTTACATAGAATTACTCTGTCCAGAATCTGTAATAAATTTAAAGGTAAAGCACGCCACCAAGAGCTACTATTCAGTCTACAGAGTTGTTTTATAGCTCACTTCTTGATCACTTTGTTATGATGGGATTCTATGTAAGCTGTTTTAAGTCCATGTTGTTGGATTAATGTGGCCAAAATAATTAAGATAAAAAGAACCAACTGTAACTGTAACCATGTTCATCAAGAATGTATTTAAGAGAGAGCCCCTTCTTCCTTAGTTTTCAGTCTTTCCATTCTGAATTTTAAAAAGCTTAAAGATATCTAACATTCAACATCTATTACTATTCACTAGCTAGCTCTCCTAAAGCATAATAAATGATATTGTTTTTAACTGACAATTTTCTAAATACAGAAGAAAGGGAATCTTGAAGCTAAAATTTCCTTAAAACTATTTTAAACTTCTGCATAAATTAACAATTTATAAATGTCCTGTGCATCTAACCACATAAATCCTCAAGAATGTATTCATTCTAGAAAGGATCCAAATGGGGAAAAAAAAAATGAAAGAAAAAGAAAATCTGGAACTTCATAGTTATGTAGTAGTTATGTGGTAATATTTTAATACACAGCTATCTTCATGATATAACCAAATATAAGTTATATTTTCATATATAAATATACATTAATCTTAACCATACCATCTAAGATTAGTGACAGTAAGACTATACCTGAATTGGTTAAATTTTCATGTTAGAGAAAATTCTTAACATCATTCTAAATTACTAATAAAATTATAAATGTAAATGTAATGCAATATTTTACAAAAGGCATGCTATTGAAAACAGGGTCAATGTAACAGTAATATTTCTAAGTTAAAATGGTATTATTTTCACTCCCCTTCAGTTCTCCAAAACAAATCACCATAGTGAGATCTAATTAGCTGAACGCCTGGCATATATTCTATAATATCAGCAGTTCCTAATTTACAAATGATGTTATAAATAATAGAAAAGCCCAAATATTGGTCTTAACAAATAAATTTAATCCATAATATAACTGGGACTAGTACTACCAATAGCACTTAACCTTGACTCTCAAAGCAAAGGCAAGAAGGAAAGATTGAGTGACTGACTACTGTAATCACCTTCAACAATATCCACAGCATCAAAGAGGGAGAAAAATGGGTTTCCAAGTGTTCCCATAAGGAAGTACTTTGGAGTAAAAGATCATGAATGACAGAGGAAACTATAAAAGTATAGTATATTCTGGCTAAAAGAGGCAAAAATAACAAGATCTCAAGCAACAGGGAAACTTTAGGAGTACTAATTGTATACAGTATTCATTTGAGGAGTATTTGGGGACTATCAGAATAAAACAACTTAGCATAAAAAAGTTAAACTTGAAATATACTTACGGATCAATAGAAACTTTAATACAGGTCATATTCTTATCCCTCTGTTTATTGTCAGCTGCATTAACTACAAATTAAATATTTTGATGAGTAATAAAATAAAGTTATATAAACAAATATATGACAACTGCATGTATATCCCTACTTAATATAAACATTTATATATGGTAATAGTTATTGAAATTATTGATACTAACTTCTAATAAAAACTTTATTTTCTAAATAATATTCTTAAATTTTATATCACACTAAATTACTGTTATGTCTTTTACTACAAAATGGGGGGAGGGGAAGGGCAGATTTTGTGATATATAAAAATAAAAACAAACATCTGCAGGTTATAACGCCCTAATCCAGGTTAGGTCTAAAAGAAAAAAAACTGAGTTTAATTATATTTTATCTTGGAAACAACTACTTTCTCCTGATCTTCAAAAAACTTGTGGTTTTATAGACAGGTTGAGCTAAAATCTGTTATTTTTAAATTAGAAAGACAAAGTCTTCAGCATCCTTAGAAATCAAAATTCTAAATCCTATGCACTATAATTGATAATATATTTGCATACGTTAACCACTGCTGGGGTTAGACACATGACTACACAAATTTTAACACAAGTTAGCTGTCAAATTCAACTTCAATCATAGAAAAAATATGTTCCTGATAAACACTATGTAACATAAAAGTAAAATCGAGTGGATAGCTGGGAAGCAAGAGTGAAAAGTATAAAATACAAGAAACCAGTTTTATTCCCCTATCCTTTCCCCAAAGAAGGACCAGAACAAGCTCAGAGAGACCCACACAACCCAGCTGTCTAGGAAACTTCAAGTGGCATTGATAAGGTGGCAGAGCCCAGAGTCTCTAGAAAGTGCTTGGCTAAAAATATTTCCAAAATGCAAGCATTCCCTAGGAATCAATTAAGCATCCACACTTCACTGTGATTTCATTTATCATGTGCTTTGGAAAAAAACAGAGATCATTCAGAGCAATGGTTGTTAAACTTGGCTGCCCAACAGAAATTCCTGATTTGTTGGTGAAAACCCCAATTTTACATGTCTCATAGCAAACTCGCCAAATCTGCAAGGATCAGGCCCTGTAATCTCTATTTTTAACATGCCCCTCAGGTGACTGGTATGAATGCAATCTTCAGATGACTACACTTACAAGAATATAAACCAACTGTGGATTACTGATCAAATAACAACACATTCACTTTACAGATAAACGCAAAGACATGATGTGCACAGATATGAAAATATTACAGTGAGTACAAAATTTTCTGAAGAACATTTATATTCAGCATAGAAGCCAGAGATATGCCTTTAAAATTTACACAGTAAGTCTGGCTTTATATACACACATACACACACACATACACACACACACACCCCAAAGGACACAGAGGAGTTAAATCTTAGGCAAATACTCACCCAAAATTTCATCAAAGATCTTGTATAAACCTGGCACAAAGGTAACCTCTCTGCAATTCATTCCTACATCTTCATCATACACCCACATTAGCTGCATTGTAAGAAAAATTGAAAAGGACTTATGGGGTAAAAAAAGCATTTAACATCAGTTTTACATAGTATAAACCCACATCTGTCATTTCCTCTGTAAATACTTAGATCTTCAAAGTAGAAAAACATATACTACTTCAGTTACACTCAACTTCAGGATATGCATATTCAATTTAAATAACTTCAAAATTGAGATCTTACTCATTTTGTATTGAGTCTGTATTCTTATTTATAAAGTCAGCTTATTAATATAAGGCACCAAGAATTGTTAGAAATGATATTTAAATAAAACAGAAAAAATCTTTCATTAACTTTACACTTTTACTTCATGTTTTGTATTTTTCTATAAGGAGCACAGAGTAAAATAATATGAACACAGCATGACTTTGGAGACAGAGATCTAGCTTTAAACCCAGCTCTTACTAGTTGAGGGATCTGAACAAGTTATTTAAATTTATTTAAACTTCAGGGGTGCCTGGGTGACTCAGAGGCTCAGTCCTTAAGCATCTGCCTTGGCTTAGGTCCTGATCCCAGAGTCCTGGGATGGAGCCAGCTCCCTGCTCAGCGGGAAGCCTGCTTCTCCCTCTCTCACTACCCCCGCTTGTATTCCCTCTCTCACTGTGTCTCTGTCAAATAAATAAATAAAATCTTAAAAAAAAAACAAACTTTAGTTTCCTCATCTATAAAATGGGGATAACAGTACCTACTTTCTAAAATTGTTAGAATCAAACAAGATAATATGTGCAAGCCAAGTCCATAGTAAGCACTGGTCATTAGTGTATATGTACACATTCTAGAATTTGAAGCAAACCACGCATAAAGGTAAGGACTTTTAAAAAGTTCACACACTACCATTTTACTCTATACTTCTTACCTCTGATAGTTTATATCTCCTAGTTTTTTTTATCTTTAGCAGAAAATGAAGACATTTCTACCTCTCTTACATCTCTCACTCCACTCTATGAGCACAGAGACATGAAATAATGTACTTACAAAGTATACAATCACAAAAAATTTACTAAAAAGTACATATAGATACACATCTCCTAATCTCAAATTTAACAAATAATTACCTGTGTCAATGGTTCCACTGACCCAATATATGTATCAGGACGAAGGAGAATATGTTCAAGTTGTGTCTTTTTCTGATACACTCTCTCAACAGACAACTTCTTTGAAGAATCATTTTTGTTTGCAGTTTCTGACTCTTCTTTTTTTGCAGCATTGTTCTGATCAAAAAGAGTCTAAAATTAACCAAAAAATCAAATTTAAATAACCTACCAAGGGGTAAACTAAAATGTATATGGACACATACCATAGGTTTTCTTTTTAATGACAAAATTATCTCTCAGGTTGATTTTTAAGTCTTAAAGAGAACACAGGTCTATTTACTGACAGTCCAGTTCTTTTTATACTACAGCGTAAAACTGCAGTTTTGACTAAGGTATAGTCACCAGAATAGCTAGAAATGCCTACATCTCTTCAATCCAGAAATATAAACATTTCCCAATTCTGTAAGTTACCAAGTTAATTTTTACAGCCCTCAAAACTTTCCAAGAAATACGAGTTCTGGCCAGGTTACAGGTTCACAATAACTGAACCTGGCTACCTGCAGGAGTCTTCAAATCTTCTACATTATCAGTTCCCTGCCATTAAGCCACTGAAGATTATTTTAAAGGGTGGGCAAAAGTAACCTACACAAAATAGTGACTATGTAGTTAATATACACTGAGCTGGCTGAAAACACTAAGCATGGTTTATGAAATCTCAAATTTCACACTTTTATAGGTCATTCCAATAATTCCTTATAAATCAGTGCTAGGTGCCCCATTCTGAGGCACCCGCTGATTCTAGTTTTTGTGCCAGTTCCAAGGAAACAGAGGTTGGTGATCCTAATTCTAACCATTCCTACAGTAGATAAGGATCACAAACTCGAATTCCCAAGGTCTGGAGATTTCCCTGTCATCTTTTTTTCCTTTTATTTTTTATTATGTTATGTTAATCATCATACATTACATCATTAGTTTTTGATGTAGTGTTCCATGATTCATTGTTTGCGTATAACACCCAGTGCTCCATTCAGTATGTGCCCTCTTTAATAGCCATCACCAGGCTAACCCATCCCCCCCACCCCCCTCCCCTCTAGAACCCTCAGTTTGTTTCTCAGAGTCCATAGTCTCTCATGGTTCATCTCCCCCTCCGATTCCCCCCCTTCATTTTTCCCTTCCTACTATCTTTTTTTTTTTTTTTTAACATACAATGTATTATTAGTTTCAGAGATACAGGTCTGTGATTCAACAGTCTTACACAATTCACAGCACTCACCATAGCACATACCCTCCCTAATGTCCCTGTCTTCTTAATAGCAGAAAACACACTCTCTCCTTCTAGAATTCCCTAATATTGACGAATAAGACATGCCACTAAAATGGCTATAATGGCATGTTTTTTCACAGTCAAAAAATAATTCACATATTAGAAACAATGAAAATTGAGATATCTTCACAAGTCTTTGAACTTAAGCAGAAATGAAGCAGTCAGAAGACAAACAAGAGGAGAGATTTTATGAATTTGAACAAGCAATAAACCACTTTAATTCAGGTCCTACACATAGCCATACCATTATCTTTAAAGTTAATATTTGAAAAAAGTCATTACATAGTCTACATTTAAAACATGTATGTTTAAAAATCAAATACATGGGGCGCCTGGGTGGCTCAGTCGTTAAGCGTCTGCCTTCGGCTCAGGTCATGATCCCAGGGTCCTGGGATCAAGTCCCACATCGGGCTCCCTGCTCGGTGGGAAGCCTGCTTCTCCCTCTCCCACTCCCCCTGCTTGTGTTCCTGCTCTCGCTATCTCTCTCTCTGTCAAATAAATAAATAAAATCTTTAAAAAAAAAAAAAATCAAATACATGGGCGACTGGGTGGCTCAGATGGTTAAGTGACTGCCTTTGGCTCAGGTCATTATCCTGGAGTCCCAGGTTCAAGTCCTGCATGGGGGCTCCCTGCTCAGCAGGGAGTCTGCTTCTCCCTCTGACCCTTCTCTCTCTCGTGCTCGCTCTCTCTCTCTCTCTCTCTCCCTCTCGAATAAATAAAATCTTAAAAAAAAAAAAAAACAAATACATAACCTCGAGCAGTCTAAACCAGGACAAGAACTATAATGTACAAACACTATGGAAATTCAAACAATTATAATCTTCCAGTACCATAAATTTTAAATAAAATTAGACTTAATATTGAAAAAAAAAAGTATTATAAACAAATCATTTTCTATATTTTAAACTATATTCTTATACATTCTTTCATTTATAAGGTTACCCATTAACACTGCTCTGAGTCAATTAAAAATAGCTTTGGACAAAGGAAAGTAAGTGTTTCATAAAATCTTCATAGTCTATTACTGTCAAGAGTTAGATGATGAACTAGCCAGAAATATACATTTTAAAAATACCAGTTTCCAAATTTCTAATCATGTTCCTTGCTTTTCATGAGACAGCTAATTAATTCATAGAAACAAATTCAAAAGTAAAAGCACAACTGATTTTAGTATAATGGGTCATCAGAATAGTAAGGACTAAGATCACACTCTTAGCAGTGTTTAAAGACAATAAATGCTATGGAATCAAAGGGAGGTAACTTCTTACCATTAACTTAGAACTGCTTGCAATCATTGGCATAAAGGTCAGGAACTTATAATAACCATGCAAGTAAAAGCTTTCTGATCCCAGGCTACTACTCCAAATCCCACAACAAAGAAAACATCTTCACGATTAGACTTAATCAAGGACTCACGTTTACCTAATTGGGGCTTCTGTGTTTGGCCCGATGAATTACACTTAACTAAAAGGGGAACAAGTAGGGAAAATAAGGATAAAGTCCTTTATCACTCCTTTTTCAAGAATTTACAACTTCTCCCATATTCCCTCACTACCAATCACTTCTTCCTCCCAAATGGATACTTGAGAATAAGGAATGCTTGGCTTGCACCTAACACATCCCTATCAAGTTCAAAAGTTGTCATTCTTGCTAGGATAATGTCTCAAAAATCAGAGAACAAGTCAGACAAGATTACTATTTGTAATGTTCTCTAGGAATATTATATAAATATTAAAAATAAGTTTGACAATATACTTAAAGTATTTTATGTCAAAATGTTTTTTCCTAAATATATGACACATGTTAAGGAAAGAAAAAAAGGAACCATTTTATTTAAAGTAATGAAAAGCATTAAGGAACATATTATTTATAGAATATCATAATAAAAGATGTTTTGAGATCTTTGTCAATATTTCAACTCTGGTTTATATTAAATAATTTCTAAAACTTGCATATAAACCTTTAAACCTGGATATTTCATTGAGTAAATATTTTTAGTTACTTTTACCAAAAATTATTTGTGTTGACTATATAAACTTCTATTGCTATATCTTTTATGTAAAGATATTATGTAATCAAGTATTTTTAAATTAGTAGCTTATTAAAACTTAACTGTTTAGTGACCAAAATTACAAGGCTATATAAAAAATCTATATTATACACACATAGGAAAAAATATAAAATATACCCAACAGAATATCAAAATTATCTGTAAGAAGTAGAAATAGAAATTATTTTCATTTTTTCTGATACACATTTTCCAATTTTCTACAACGAACACATATAGAAGTACTTTAAAAGCTTATTAGCCCGTGTATGTGAAAACATAATTACACTAGACTAAAACTGAAGGTTTCTTTTTTCTAGTGGCACTGTTAATACCTACCTATTACTTCTGCAGTCCCAACATTCTCATTAGAATTTAGGCAAAAAGGTAAGTGAAACCAAAATAAACAAGACTGGCAAGTTTGGCAGAGTAGAAAACAGAAATTAACATTGCAGTCAGATTTGTCTTTTACTTTCCCATTCTCAACAAACGGTAGTTTGCACTGCTCACTGGCTCACTAGCAGCAAACAGAAAGAGGAGGTTCTCTCCTGAGAGGTCTGTAAGTTTTTCTCACAGAAACCTAAAATAATGATCTCTTTTAGCTCGTCTTTATTAACAGAAAGTTGCCCCCTGAATAATGTCCAGGCCACTAAAAATCAAAATCTGGGGATGAGGGGACAGACAGCAATTACACCACCCCCTCAATGGGATGGCCCCATCCCTAGGATAAGTATAAATACAAACACCTTGGGACTGAGAACTAAGTAAAATGAGAAAAATCTATTGATCATCTTCCCTACAGCTCTTATTGTCACTATCTCTAGGAAAGAAGAAGAAAAAAGAAGAGAAAAGAAAAGATTAGAAAAGAAAAAGGAAAGAAAGATCAGAAAAGAAAAAGGAAAAGAAAGATCACCTGGAGTAGTTCTTCAGTTTTAACACTGTTACTAATAATATTCAGAAGAGAGATCATGAAATTAGCTTGAACACAAACAGATCAGCAATCTCCTATCTACACATTTACAAAAGTACTCTCAATCCCACAAATGATAAAGGAGACTGATATATATCTGGTATCTGTAGGCTAAAAGAATTATGCTCATTTTGGGGGTGGGGGAGCTAAACTTTCCACATTAATGTCAGTACATTCAGGTTTTCATTAACAATTTATTTGGTTTACTTGTAAATCCACCAGTTTTCCAACATTATTAGCTCTATTTGAGAAGTTGAAAAATTCTTCTTGAATTGTAATAATCTCCTCATCCTCATGTTTAATTGAGACAAGTATATGTTGGCACAGAGGTTTGATTTTTAAATTTGTTTTTGTTGCTGTTGCTGTTTTATTAGTTTTTTTGTTTTTCAAGTCCTTGTTTCACTAATTTTTTTAATGCTTTTTAAGTTTTTGAATTATGCTCATTTTAAACACTGAAAAGAAGGTCTTTTGATTCAAAATAATGATTTAACCTTTTCTTATTCTTATTATGTTCATAGTAGTAAAATATCTTGTACTACATTGATTGACTAAGTAGTCCACATTAAATAAAAATTCACAATACACCCTTAAAAATAATCAATTACCAAAATCATTCTAAATAAATTTTAAGGTTTGCTAAAACTGAAAACTTACAATTTAAGTTTTTTGTAATTTATTTTACTGCCTAAATTTGTGTGGACAAAACACCAAGTTATTTATAGTAATAAATAATTCCAGCATCTAATAACACTAGAATATAAGAAATCAGAGCAACATTTTCATTCCCATATAAAACTAAAGACAATAAAAATGTAAAATAACCCCATATGAAAATATCCTCCACAAATCTAAAAACATTTTAATTCTATTCTTTGTGGTTTACACATCTGATGCCATCCATAACTGACTTTTTCTGAAGTTCAAAAGCTGGCTGCCAAATTAAACAATGCATTGTTGGGAATTTCTTAATTATAACAAAAACATCAAAATAATACATAAAATCCATATTAAAATATTAATCTATTTTAAGCACTTTTGTAATATTGCTAACTCCTAGTGAAAGAATATAGATCTAATACTTTTATCCAAAACTCAACCTTTATCAAGAATACTTCTCGGGCGCCTGGGTGGCTCAGGTGGTTAAGCGACTGCCTTCGGCTCAGGTCATGATCCTGGAGTCCCGGGATCGAGTCCCGCATCGGGCTCCC